GAAAGGCAAGTTAATGTAGGTCCTCCATCTCTTTACGAAGTTGAAAAAGCCATAGGAAATCTGAAGCGAGGGAGAGCAGCAGGCCCTGACAGGTTTACCCCTGAGATTTTTAAGGATGGTGGTCCAGTATTAGCAGTGAGATTAACTGAGGTCTTAGGTAGAATTTGGGAACTGGACGCAATCCCATCTGACTGGTCTCAATCACTGATTGTGCCAGTCTAAGAAAGGACAAAAGTCCTCTTGTGACAATCACAGAGGAATCAGTTTGACAAATATAGTGTCTAAAATATTAGCTTCAATAATACTTCGACGCCTAACCAAAGCTCGTGAAGAACAGACTAGAGAAAATCAGGCTGGTTTCCGACCTGGACGTGGTTGTATAGATCAGATATTCACACTACGTCAGGTTCTAAAACACAGACACATATTCAGACGTCCCACAATCGTAGCATCTCTCGACCTCAAGGTGGCATTTGACTCTGCTGATCGTGAGGTTCTGTTGCAGAGTTTGTCACTGAAAGGAGTACTAAAGATGTACATTAACCTTACACAGGCTCTCTACTCCAACACAACTGTCCGAGTCAGAGCTTATGGCGAGCTGTCATCAGAATTGATTACCTCAAATGGTGTTCGTCAGGGCTGTCCATCTCTCCATTCTTGTTCAACTTTGTCGTCGACGTACTTTTAGAGATAACACTTTCCTCGTCTAAATTTCCAGGGGTTGAACTTCTACCGGGAGGTTCACTTGTTGACTTAGAATATGCTGATGACATAGTTTTATTTGGTGAAGACGCTGACAAAATGCAGAGTCTTCTGACCACTCTAAGCAACAATGCAAGCATGTTCGGGATGTAATTCTCCCCCTCGAAATACAAAATGTTGCTTCAGGATTGGGTTGCATCGACACCCGAACTAATGATAGGAGTGAAGTAATTGAGCGTGTCGATCGCTTCGCTTATCTTAGAATTCTCATCAGCCCTTGTGGTCTGGTGTGTGACGAAGTCTCAGCACGGATACAGAAGGCTCGACTAGCTTTTGCCAACTTGCGTCATTTATGGCGTAGACAAGATACCGCCTATCAACCAAAGGACGTGCTTACTGCGCAGCAGTTCGTTCCGTCCTACTTTATGGCAGTGAAATGTGGTCGGTAAGAGTGGAGGATATCCGTAGGTTACTAGTGTTTGATCATAGATGTCTTCGAAATATTGCTCGTATATCATGGGACCATCGAGTAAGTAATACAGTTGTTAGGAAACGGGTACTAGGTAAGGATGGCAAATCAATTGATGACGTAGTGAAACTTCATCAGTTGAGATGGCTGGGTTATGTGTTACGTATGCCCAACCACCGACTGCCTCGAAGTGCGATGTTTTGTTGTATAGGAGTAGATTGGAAGAAAGCTAGGGGCGGCCAGACCAAAACATGGCACAAGTCCATGAAGTCACTGACAAGTAGACTGAGTCATATTAGTAAGTGTAGACTACCTGGTTGGGGACCACGAGATGATAGCAACCGATGGTTAGAGACCCTGAATGACATGGCTCAAAATCGTTTGCAATGACGCAGGTGCATACACTCTTTGTGTTCTCCCAAATTCTAATCTTCTGAATTCTTCATGTCCCTTTCTTTTTTCTCTTATCAAATTTATTTCACTGGATTATACTCCTTGAATAATATCTTCAAACCCCAATTTTTCTAATTACAGCTTATAATTTTACTACATCTAGCACTACGGGATTTGAATCGACAATTGCATCTCTGTGCTAATGTGGTGTGCGTAATCGAATTGATGTACGTACGTACGACGTTCTACGTTGTTACTGACTGACTGACATTGACTTCCAACACTAAACTTCCGCTTTTGGCTTCCTCTTCATGTGTCACCATAGCCAACGACTCTAGTACGCAAAGCACTGTCCCAGGTCTACTGGAACCTCGCTCCAAACTACACATTCGAGCCTTCAAAGTACACACACTATGTCAAACTGGTCAGCAGGCCTCCTTGGCTAAAACTCTAGAATCTCGTACCATTGATTTATGCTGTGTCGCCGGAACACACATACAGGATCCTAGTGTGGTCACTCACCTGGCCTCCCCTCGTCAAAACGGAGAGCCGACGATATACACCCTCCATGTATATGGCGACCCGGTGGCTAGTTCTCGTGGACTGGCAGGTGTAGGCATAGCACTAAGTACGAGGACAGAACAAGCACTATTAGAGTGGATCCCCGTTAACAGTCGTCTATATACTGTTCGGCTAAACGGCTCCGTAAGAACTCGGAAGGACAAGGACACACGTCGTTGCCTTTTTATTGTTTCTGCCTACGCTCCCACTGACTGCAGCCGTGACTAAGTGAAAGATGAAGTTTACAGAAAGCTTTATGAACTTCTTCATTAAGCTAAACACCCACACATAGTATTCGTAGCAGGTGACTTTAATGTCCAAGTAGGTAGCTTAAACCAAACAGAAAGACACTTAGGTGGGTACTTTAGTATTCCGGCTCAACGAACAGTTAATGATGATGGTCTGCTGCAACTGTGCTCAGACAATCGTCTATTTTTAGCAGGCACTAATTTTAAGCATAAGGAGAAACATAGTCTAACATGGCGACCGCCTGCACCAAACCAACGATGGACTCAAATAGACCATATTGCCATCAGTCGTCGTTGGAGAGGATCGATAGAGGACTACCACTCGTTCTGGAATACCTGCTTGGACTCCGACCATGCTCTAATACGGGCGCACAACTGCTTGCGCCTCACTGGACGCAGAAAAGACACATTAAGAAGACCTATTGGAGTTGAACTCAACGATTAGAAGGTCAAAGGTACATTTCAGGAACAACTGAATTCACACTTGGGCAATTTCGAAACCGAGGCTGACCCAGATGTTGCTTGGAAAGATATACAAACAGCAGTGACATCTGTTAGTGATTTAAACCAAAGAGCTACAAAAAATCAATGGATTTCTTCAAGGTCTATTGCACTGATGGATTCTCGTAAACTCATCCCATCAGGCTCAGAACACGATGATGAGCGAAAGCGAATCAGATCTAGGTTAACCAAAAGTCTAAGGAACGACTGTGAACAGTGGTCGGCAACGAAAGCAAAAGAGGTGGAAAATACGGTGGCTATAGGTAACACAAGACAACTCCTCAGACTCGTGAAAGAAACTGGAACTAAAAAGTCAAGTGTAAGTGAGACTATCTCACAAAAAGACGACACTCGTATCTGCTCCCAGTCCAGACGTTTAGAACGATGGGCAGAACACTTTAAGGAGAAGTTCAGCTGGCCTTCTGTTATAACTCAAAGGGCTGCCGATTAGAGGGTAGTGATTTATCGATCGGATCAAGGGATTCAGAATCTCGATAGACTACTCTGGTCCGTTGTCCACGACTCAGCTAACGCGATCAAGAAGTCTTGATAAGGCGTAGAAAGTGTATTCTACAGGCAACCAGCAGATAGCAGGTCAGGTCAATCAGGCACACAAGTCAAGCGTATTTATACAAATATTTACAATCGATATTGTCATAGTAAAATGTTTTTAAACATTAATCAGTAAGTTCATCAATCGACAACCATTCAAATATCTAATCGATAATTTCGTCAATTGACTTATGTTTAATCATTTAATCGATAAGTTCATCGATTGACTGTCATTCAAATATTTAAACATTTAGTCGATATGATAAAATTACGAAATATGAGTTTTGGGGATCTATCGTCCCCAACACCTTCAGCTACTCTACAGTTACCCACAATTTTCAAAATGCCCCAACGAAACGTTGAGAGGTAGACCCTTCGACTATAATTGAATTTCAAAGAGCTATAACTAATCTGAAACGAGAAAGAGCAGGTAATCCAGATGGTGATTCAGTTTTAGCGATTACGCCAACTCACCAGAATCCTCCTTCAAAATCATACATACAGTCATAATAGTCGGCTTAATAGGAATCCAAATGGCAAACTTATGTACAGCGCAGGCTATCGCTATCCGCCAGTTTCAGTCGCTCATTGTTCGATGGTCAGAACCACCTTTTCTATCTTCCATAATCCATCGTTTATTTTAGATTTTATAATGTATATTCCTTTTCAATTATTTTCACAACTACTCATTAGCAATTGTTATAACTTTTATTCTTTTCTTAATAGCTATCGAGTGGATAATTATCTTGACCTTACCACTTTTTCAATAGCCGATAATTACATAACTTCCTTTCAATATCTGATTTTCAATTTTTGACAAGATACCACATCAAGTTCTTAAATATTCAACACCATCCTATCCTACTATAGACTACTCTGTTCTAGTAAATAAAATTAACTACTATTGTACAATTCAAGTAAACGAAATCGTCCAAAAAAATATTCTTCGTTGAATCGCTTTTTTACTTGTCTCATATCTGTTAGCTATTTAAAAGCGTCAGGCGTATGACCCATGAGATGTTCGTATTTCACGATCCTGTTCGAAAGATTAGTCAAAGACTCTCATGCCCTTAGTTTGACTACAATAAGATATGGTGCATTTGAGTTAGAATAAGCTCATGTTTGTAGTTGGACGAAGAGTGATAATGTTCGACAGTTCAAATATTTCTCTTGTACACTTATCACCTATGACTATTCGTGATCAAAAGTCAACAATGATAGTGTAATTTTTTGTTTGTCGACATCGCTAAATATTCAGAAAGTGATTAACGGACAATTAAATTATCTACATCTTCAAGAATACTAGTAAATATACATTTTTGCGAAAAAAATTTACAGTTAAAATTGAGTAGAATAGTTTATTTTACTGACAGAGTGGTACTTATTTATATCAGTTCCTGACAACTTTATGTTTGCAACTTAATGATTGTCGATTAAAGACTTTAAAATAATTTCTCACAGTTGACCGAAAACTCCATAAAACCACTATATTTAATCCACAGTGACGATAACTCAGAATAAAATGAAACTACGTAATTCGCGTAACATAACATTAACACATCTACAATGCATACCTCTAGTGAGCCAATCCACTGACAACTACCGATAAAACTTTTTGGCTTATCCCCAAAACGTACAATGGAAGCTTGAATATCTCTGAGAGATGGTATTGGGCCTGGAGTTATTTCACCTTGCCACATAAGCCAAGATACTAGTGTTTGGAGCGATCGATATGCACAACCCCAATTCCTGTCATCTACTCCGTCCTAAAAATGTTAAAAAATTATTCATGTAGAGACTCAAAGCTTCTGAATTAAAAATATGATGTTACATTGGCAGAAGTCTACGGATACTTAGTTTGTTTACGCAACCTCAAAAAGAACATGGTCAAATCCAAGACAAATATGCACCACCGGAAATTTTAAGTACGGTACACATGTATGAGAATCATGATAAGAGTAACTACCTTATGTAATCTGCTACTGATTACACTTATGGATCGATGTTCTCAGTCCTTTCTAATAAATACAGTTCCGAAAATTCCCAACCAAACTGATTGCAAAAGGGTATTTAATTAAATTATGGAACAGCGTTCTAACTATTTTAAGGTGTCACAAGACTTTTGTACAATATCAGGAAACGCGAAAATTAGGTAGATCCCCAAATAGGTAGATCAATCATTCAATTTAGATCACGGTTTTTGAGTAGATTATAATTTATAATCAATCCTTAGGTGATAACTAATCGAGACCTGTATGAAAGATATTAATTTTGTTGATGAGTTTCACAAATAATTTAGCTGCCTTAGAAATAATCAGTCGTATTGCTAGTTGGTGTACTTTAGTTACAAGTCGAAACCCTGTTTCCCACATTCTAGATTTATCAAGTAAAACAATTTAGTCGATCTATGAGATGGTTATACTATGTACTTAAAACAATTAGTCCCTCTGATAAATTCCGATGTAATGAGAAGAAGGTTATCATGATTATGTGATATATTTGCGCAATACATTTATAACAATCTAATCATACATATACTTGTTAAGACATTTTATGAAAATTAAAGGACAAACAAACAAATTAAAAGGTAAGCAGAAACAAGGATAATAAAGTACACAAAAATGATGTGGAAACCACGCTGGATAATAAATCAGTATTACCAATGTAAGTTAAGGGTAAGAACAAATAGTTTCGACACATAAAGGGGGTGTCACTTTCCGTATAGCCAAGGCTTCAATAAACCTTAGAATACGCCCTTGAAGGATTTTATACACAACTACAAAAGCTGACTCGATATCAACCTTATGGCCGGTCACAACCAAATGTTTCGCAATGGAGGAAGATGTTTGTCTATCCTGAGATCTTATTTGACTATTGGGATTCACTTGTTTTTGCAACCATTTAGGTATGTGTTCAGCCACACTTACTTGCAAATCACGATTAGTTCTGCCTATGCATGTGTTTCCGGACGTACATATAAATCTACACACACAGTGGGATGAGATGCAATCGCTTACGCGCTGTTCACTTTTTTGGTTGAACATAGATCTTGTCTTTTGAATAATGACGAGTCGAGCTGCATAAAATGTCCTATTGATGGCTAATTTAGGTCTTCGTTTCGACATGAGATTATTTAAGTCACCTCTAGACGGTAATGTAAAATAGACTCGCTTTTTTGGTGCTAGAAGCGTCATATGTCTCATCATATTGCAACCTTTCCAAAGGTTTATAAACTTCAATGAATAACCATCATTCACCAATGTTTCCGTTAAGAGCTTCGTATCTCCTTTAATACTATCACTAGTACAAATATGACTGATCCTATGAATAAGCCCTTTATTAATCCATTTTTGTAATGAATTGGACAACGAATGCGGGAATTAAGATTTTGCCCTGTTCATGTCGGTTTTCTATATACAGAACGTTTGATGGGACCATCGTTTCTCTTACTAATCAGAATGTCTAGAAAAAGGGGGCTTTAGTTGTCTGTTTCAGTCTTAAATAAACATTTACGGGTAATTTAAGTAATACTTCCTATTAGATAAATAATGCATAACAGTGAGCATTCTCTCCGATGGATAATTTTAAGCATAAACTCAGTGTTATGCATGAAAATATATAATTAAATGTAAGCAAAATGGGAATTTTCACTTTGGAAAGAAAAAACCAAATATATTATAATAAGGTGTGTATTAGCTTGGTTAAATAACTGTTATAATATCTCGTGTAACAACCAATCTACTCTTTTTGCTTAATATTCTGTAGACACTTTACTTCACTTGACAAGTCTCCAAATCAGAACACGGTTGAACAGGGGCGTAATTATATCCCAAATAGACAAGGTCGAGTGGGGGGTACGAACCACAATAAGAAGAACGTTAGTATATTTACAATTTTACACAAGATTCTAGTCTTCTTCAAGTATCCGCCAGAGCTGACTGGGTAGGAAATAACCAATCAGTGTACTCCAACGCAATCGTGCAAGGAATATGCTTTAATCAAATTTATATCCCGTTAACAATAAGACTGTCTACTTCACTTGTAAAAATTAATATACCACTGAAAACAACGTCCTGGTACAACGCGTTTCGGTTAGCTTCTTTTTTACTGGTTCATAACGAATTTGTATGGATCATGAAAGGCAACTTAATATAAAAGTTTACAACTAGATATCGGACGATTAATATCATAAGCAAACCAATTTCATAAAAATAACATCAACCAATATTAAGTTAAGATAATTAACACATACCTGAAGATAATGCTTATAAGTATACCGACCTGTAACGATGTAGGTTTGACCTATATTAGGTGCTTGTTTAACGGCTTCATGAGGACACACAAGAAGTTCAGAGGACGGGCCAAGCCAAGTGACTATTCTAGGTACTGGATGTAAAGCCTGACCTCGTCGGACGAGTGGAGTATCCAGTGGAAGACTGAATTCTTGAAAAACACGAATGAGTAGGGTGTAAATAACTCTCGTTTTACACTAATTAAATAACATATCTGACGTCACGTGATGTACAAATGATTAGACTAAAACACAAAAATCCAGTTAATTAACTCGCCTTATGTAACAAAACAACATTAAGATAACTTCTTAATATTCGAAATGTATTTATGACGAATTATCCTAACCAAAAATGAAAAATTATGGATTATTTTTGTAAAATGTACACCGATCCATCACGATTGAATAATTATAGGAATCAAGTAATATTACTCATAAACAACAATGAGCGGCTTTTATCGTATGAAGACTGACGATACCATATGGCTGATAAGAATATATAAGGGAAGACTCACATGATTTAACTGATAAACAGAAATGGCCACTAGGCCAAATGTTATGAACAAACATTTATTTACTTAGGTGTGATAATAAAAAGATTGATACAAAGCAATAGCTCCAAAAAAGTTTATTTAAAGTGCAAATTTAGTTCACTTACATTACTACTGAACGTCAGTAATTAGAAATAAGATTAATATCATGGAAATGGACAAATTTATTAAGTTCCTTTTACAAACAAAATTACGAAAGAAAGAAATCTTGTGAAGCTGAAAGTGTCAAGCAGCTGCTCATTGTTGTAATGATAGGTTTTCTAGACGTAAGTTGACTCTTAGATATACAACAATATGGTAGGGTATATTGTTAACATTACGGATCATAAGCGGCAACAAAGTAAAACCGAGTAAACACGAATGTTTTCTAACTCGGTACACTAAAGCAACACTCTACGGTGCATTCTAAGATAAACTATCACAATTTATCTGACGTTAAAATATAACTACGGAAATTTGGATTGTCGTGAATTAAGCAAAATACTTTGTATTTACATACAAGAAATATTATTAGTGAAAAAATTGTTTCTTTACTAAATAAATTATCTCTAGGCGTTTTAAAGATGATTTGTCGCATCGAATGACATCCATTAGTTACCGTGTTGGTAGTACATCTGAGTTGTGGAGAAGGAGAGTGATGTGTTGAGTATAGCAGTATTCTATATTTTGAGGATGGTGGTACCCCGGCGGTTAATGCTATCTTAACGTGGTTGTCAGGCTTGCCTATCGTAGTGAACCAATCGGGCTATACTGGCTGGAACAATCGTTCCTCAAGGTCCCATCATGTCAGGCAGGTCGGTTGAAGAGCCGTAAGACTAAAAGCAACAAACTCAAGGTCTGCTGACTGTACAGACGTGTGACCGCAGTAAGGTGTTTCCCTCAGACAAGCAGCCTAACAGCGATGCTGTCTTCCCACAAGAAAGGATGGGATTAGAAAAGGTCGACTCTAAAAATGCACATCTTGCCTTATCCAACGGATTTCCGTCTCCGGCGGTAAGATTCAAACAAGTATGGAGCTAACACGAGAACTACTCACAAAAAGGTCGTGTGTGACCGACCTCAAGCAGTTGTCCCTTGGGCACTGCGATCACGCTCTTGTGTCACTAAGACCGACTCTAAGCCAATTCCCTTTTCAGGTACCTTTAGAAGAACCCTTCACCAGTGTGAGCATTTAATATTTATTTATTTGAACACAAAAAACGTTGGTACAAGAAGGCACCAAATACATATGCGCCACATAAATCATTCGATTTGCGTAAGGGCTGTGATACTGCCCGGGTGCCCCGAGTCTTCGACCATAAAGTCTGACCCACAAGGCAGTGTAGCATCGTAAGGAGGTGCAGTCCCATGGTAGCCGGCGACCAATGGTTGATCGCTACACCATTTGTTCCCGCAGGATACTGGAGCCCATGTGCATCATTGGTTAGGAATACTGTTAAAGCGCCGGACATTCGTTTTTCGTAATCAATTTCGCAAACAACACCCCCGACACGAGAAAGCACTGAGTAGGACTTCCCCGGCAGAGGCTATATACGCGTGGCCGTGTGAGAGCATTTATAGAAAGAGGGCGGGCGCATCCCACTCTCAGCCATACCAGAGCATTTGGGGGCAACCGCAAAGTGATGATTACCCTCATACCTCTAACAGCGCTCAAGATCACTGTATTAGTAATCAATCCTCCTCTTCAATTCCTATTATTCATCTTACATCGACTTCCAACACTAAACTTCCGCTTTTGGCTTCCTCTTCATGTGTCACCATAGCCAACGACTCTAGTACGCAAAGCACTGTCCCAGGTCTACTGGAACCTCGCTCCAAACTACACATTCGAGCCTTCAAAGTACACACACTATGTCAAACTGGTCAGCAGGCCTCCTTGGCTAAAACTCTAGAATCTCGTACCATTGATTTATGCTGTCGCCGGAACACACATACAGGATCCTAGTGTGGTCACTCACCTGGCCTCCCCTCGTCAAAACGGAGAGCCGACGATATACACCCTCCATGTATATGGCGACCCGGTGGCTAGTTCTCGTGGACTGGCAGGTGTAGGCACAGCACTAAGTACGAGGACAGAACAAGCACTATTAGAGTGGATCCCCGTTAACAGTCGTCTATATATTGTTCGGCTAAACGGCTCCGTAAGAACTCGGAAGGACAAGGACACACGTCGTTGCCTTTTTATTGTTTCTGCCTACGCTCCCACTGACTGCAGCCGTGACTAAGTGAAAGATGAAGTTTACAGAAAGCTTTATGAACTTCTTCATTAAGCTAAACACCCACACATAGTATTCGTAGCAGGTGACTTTAATGTCCAAGTAGGTAGCTTAAACCAAACAGAAAGACACTTAGGTGGGTACTTTAGTATTCCGGCTCAACGAACAGTTAATGATGATGGTCTGCTGCAACTGTGCTCAGACAATCGTCTATTTTTAGCAGGCACTAATTTTAAGCATAAGGAGAAACATAGTCTAACATGGCGACCGCCTGCACCAAACCAACGATGGACTCAAATAGACCATATTGCCATCAGTCGTCGTTGGAGAGGATCGATAGAGGACTACCACTCGTTCTGGAATACCTGCTTGGACTCCGACCATGCTCTAATACGGGCGCACAACTGCTTGCGCCTCACTGGACGCAGAAAAGACACATTAAGAAGACCTATTGGAGTTGAACTCAACGATTAGAAGGTCAAAGGTACATTTCAGGAACAACTGAATTCACACTTGGGCAATTTCGAAACCGAGGCTGACCCAGATGTTGCTTGGAAAGATATACAAACAGCAGTGACATCTGTTAGTGATTTAAACCAAAGAGCTACAAAAAATCAATGGATTTCTTCAAGGTCTATTGCACTGATGGATTCTCGTAAACTCATCCCATCAGGCTCAGAACACGATGATGAGCGAAAGCGAATCAGATCTAGGTTAACCAAAAGTCTAAGGAACGACTGTGAACAGTGGTCGGCAACGAAAGCAAAAGAGGTGGAAAATACGGTGGCTATAGGTAACACAAGACAACTCCTCAGACTCGTGAAAGAAACTGGAACTAAAAAGTCAAGTGTAAGTGAGACTATCTCACAAAAAGACGACACTCGTATCTGCTCCCAGTCCAGACGTTTAGAACGATGGGCAGAACACTTTAAGGAGCAGTTCAGCTGGCCTTCAGCTACCTCACAGTTACCCACCATTCAAAAACAGCGTGAATGGAACACTGAAGCAGGCCCTCTGACTCTCATTCAGGTTCAAAAAGCCATAGATAATCTCAAACGAGGAAGAGCATATGGATTGGCTCCAGAGGTCTTTAAGGATGGTGTTCCAACTATAGCGATTAGGTTGACTAATATTTTAGCTAAAACTGGGAGTTGGACGTAATCCCATCCCATTATATAAGATGGGGTCAAAATCATTCTGTGATAACTATAGAGGGATTAGTTTGACTAATATAGCATCTAAAATACTAGCATTAATAATTATCGGGCGGTTAACAAAGACTTGTGAACTGCAAACACGATAAAATCAGGCTGGCTTCTGACCTGGTCATGGCTGCATCGACCACATATTCACCATTCCTCAGGTTCTAGAATATAGACATGCTTACCGGCATCCGACAGCGATAGTTTTTCATGACTTGAATGCAACATTTGACTCTGTTGACCGAGAGGTTCTGTGGTAGTGACTCTCGTTGCAAAGTGCACCTCAGAAATACATAAGCCTCGTGAAGGCTCTTGACTCGAACACTAGTCGTCGAGTCAGAGCTTATGGCGAACTGTCATCTGATTTAGCAGCCTCAAGTGGTGTTTGACAAGGCTGTCCACTATCTCCATTTTTTTCGATTTCATCATAGACCTACTGCTGGAAGTAACGCTTTCGTCATTTGAATTTTCAGGAATTGATCTCCTTCTAGGAGGTTCACTTATCGAACTAGAATACACAGATGACACATTCCCGTTTGGTGAAGACGCTGATAAAATGCAGAGCCATTTGGTCGCACCGAGCAACAATGCCAGAATGTTTGGAATGCATTTCTACCCCTCTAAATACAAGTTGTTGCTCCACGACTCACCTTCGTCAACCTTAATGGGTTGGTGTCTGATGGCATCTCTGCACGGATTCAGAAAGCTCGTTTGGCTTTTGCCAACTTACGTCACCTATGGCGAAGGCAAGATTTTCGTCTATCAATTAAGAGACGAATATACTGCGCGGCAGTTCGTTCTGTCTTACTTTACAGCTGCGAAGCATGGCCATTAAGAGTAGAAGACATTCGTAATCTACTAGCACTTGATCACAGACATCTTCGAAATATTGCTCGCATCTGTCGGGATCACCGGGTAAGTAATAGTGAGGTTAGACGCAGGGTATTAAGGAATGATGGTAAATCAGTTGATGAGGTTGTGAATCCTCATCGACTGAGATAGTTGGGCCACGTGTTACGCATGCCTGAACACCGATTACCACGACGCGCAATGCTGACTAGTGTTGGGAACGGATGCAATAAAGTTAGAGGCAGCCAAACTAAAACGTGGCATCAGTCCTTGAAGTCACTAACTTCTTGTCGTAGCCATGTTGGTAGATGCGGACTACTTGGTTGGGGTCCGTGTGACTATCGTAACCAGTGGTTGGAGACTCTGGATGATATGGCTCATAATCGATCACAATGGCGTCGGTGTACACACTCTTTGTCTTCCCCTAAACTATGAGATTAAAATCGCTTCATATCTTTCTTTCTACGAACTAATTCTCTCCTTCTGTACTATATTCTTACATAAAACCTTTCTTTTATATATTATTACCATCGAATTAACTGCTTTTATGAATCCGGTGGTCATCTTGCCGTGCTAATGAGGTATGACAACTTGGACCGATGCATATATGTGCCTCGTCCTACGTTGTAACTGACCTAATTGTCGTTTATTTATCTAAATATAGTGATCATTGGTAATATGACTTCCTAGGTCACAAAGTGATATAAAAATACTGTAGATAGAAAACTGATATAAGATACCCAGTATTTCAGAAGCATATTGTTGTTGTAGCTCTTTGACTCGACTCCGATATGGATGAATGTATGAAAATGCTACCAACATAAATCTTCCATTTAACTCCGTATACTAAATAGGCTAACCCCGTTGGTGTGACGGTGATAAAAAAAGTTAAGTAAGGGTTTCGTCTGAGGAATTTACTTCAAGCACTCGTTCATCGAGACACAAATTCAAAATAAGGAGTGAAGAGTAGAGACAACTAGATCTGATTAAGCATGACTCGATAGTTATAGTCAGACAAAAATAAATTACAGATACGTAATGAATAAAGTGAGCAATTACCTCACACGCCCACATAAAAACAATCAAGGTTAGTAAGCGAATAATTAACAAGGTCAGGATTTGACTTGAGAAGGATGAATAAACTAGTCTATCCGGAAGCTAAAATAACCCACGTGGGCTTGACATAGCACTAGACACCACACTATGAATAATGTAGTACAAGTGTCTACATTCAAGAGTCCTTACTATTTGAAAACTTCAGACTAATAAAGATAAATGTTATGATATCATATTATTAATCTAGAATTTTTAAGGTGCCTGAAACATGATAACTTTTTAATAAGACTGTTTGTTTAGCGCCACACAGATCTTTGTAGCAAGAAAGTGAAGCATTTGTGTTTAGGTTTATAAAATTGCAATTACTGAGGAAAAACGAAAAGATATTGAGGTTATAAAACGTACTTTCATGAATGATCTTCCGCCAAATTTCTTCACGTGTTTCTTCGATCTTCCACGGGAGACGTATACTGAACATAGAAGACCGAACTACGTAATGGTAAGATAATAATGTTTTTGGAGGAAACTTTACTTCCCTCCAAAGAAACAGAAGAGCGCGATGGTAGCTGTCCAAAAATGAAGATAATTTTGTACACAGAGCTCTGTGCATTAATTCATTGTTGTTGAAATTGCAAATCAAATCTATCGGTATACGATGGGAGTAGCCAAATGAATGATGAGAAATCTGTAGAGTTGGAGTGTGATCACAAGTGTTATTATCAAGACTGAAAAATACTATGAGTGCTGCCAAATTTATGTTGTCTTTTAGCTTCCTAAAGGAGTCAATCATTTTAGAGGAATGCTCTTTGGTCGAATTCGCCGATAAGCAAACAGAATCATGAACAAAAACAGCCGAAGTAAGCAAGATCTTCAGTTTGAGAAAGCATAAAGATAAAGATTCCTCTGTAGAAAACCTTATGCATATCGGTTTCTGACTGAATATTCTAAGCAGTATATGTTCTGAACTACCAGATAGTTCACCAACAGACTCACACAACTCCATATGTTCCAGAATGGAGAATATGAAACTATTCACTCGTTAAATTCCGATTGCATTGTCGCCGTTAAAACTCCATACTTCCAACAGAAAACAAAATAAAGTAAACTGGTTCTAATTTATTGCACTCTGAAGAAATATGTGCTTAGATTTAACCTGCAGTAGAGAAAGCACATCAGTGTACTCAACCAAAGTTCAAATTAAATGTATACTTATTGCCAATACTAAAATACGATATTAACAAATCACCTGAACTTTCGAGTTGATAATGGAATAACTTGGAAGTTAGTCAGGTTTCATAAATGCTAGTTGGAACCGTGGTTGTTTGACGTTTTGTTTTTCGAAACTTTCTACTTGATACCACATACTGCTGAGCCCCAAAATGCCCTGGTATGGCCGAGGGTGGGGAGATTCAGTTCTTCCTCTCGAAATGCTCTCACATGGCCACATACATACAACCACTGCCAGGGAAGTCCTACTCACAGCCTTCTCGCGGCGGGGGTGTTGTTTACAAAATTGAGAGGACGAAAAGCGAATATCCGACGTTTTAACTGGGTTGGCGGACACGGAGAGTTCACATTGGGGAGTTGAAAAACCCTCATTCCAAACCAACGGTGTACATGGGCTCAAGGATCCTGAAGGAAAAAATGGCGTAGGAACCTAATGTTGGTCACCGATTACAATGGGAATGCATCTCCTGACGTTGCTCCACTGCCTTGTGGATCAGACCCTTAGGTCGAAGGTTCGGGGTGTGGCCCCCTAAGAAAACTACCTGCTTCGGTTTGGGCACCTGAGCAGTATCCCAGTCCTCACACAAATCGAATGATTTATGTGACGCATATCTATTTGGTGCCTCCTTGTACCAATGTTCATGTGTTTAAATAACTAAATATATAAACATACTGTTGTAAAATTAAACCACTTAAAATATGAAAAGTTTATAAGTAATAAATATTACGAGAGAACATCATGACACAGAATGGGGTTGCATAGAGATGCTTATTAAATTAATTAAGGCCTACACTAACTGGTGTTCGTACTAGGTGTTAAGTTGAGCATCCATTCACATAAAAACACCTTTTAAAACAAGGGAAATGAATACCAAGATAATGAAGTGAAGAGATAATTAGGGGAATACATGGAACCATGAGACACTTATGTAGAGTACGCCAAAACAAATATGATTAAAATGTCAAACTTATAGGGGAAACTTATAAAGATGAGATTTGAGGACCTAGGAGACGATTCTTACAGTCCACATAAAGAAATACTGTAGGAAAATAATTATTTGTCATTACCAACATATTACCAGAATGAGTGGAACCCATTTTGTCCAAGCTCGACAGGAAAGAATAGATTTGGGCGAGATGCTTCTGTATTTCGGTCACGAAGAAAATGTTCCACACAATCTGAAAGTTACTCTGATGCTGTTTACAGAAGCATTTAAAACACTTATAGGATAGAAATCTCATGAACCCAGAAACATTAAAGCAACTTCCAAAACGATGGGGGGAATCTAAAGGAATGTTATCCAATGTTATGCACCAACCAATGACAGCAACAACGATAAAGATCAGATTTAGGAGAGGCTGCAATCAATTGTAGCGAAGTGCTCAAGAAAAGACCTGACCATCCTGATGGTAGACTTAAACGCCCAAGTCGGGATGGATATCAGGTATGAAAATATCATGGGACGAAATGGACTGGGGGAAGGGAACGAAAATAGTGACAGACTTGCGATCTTACGTGCATCCAACAAAATGGCTATAGGCGACACAATATCACCCCACAAACACATACACAAAACTACATAAATCTCACCGGATCACACTACCCGGAACCAGATCGATTATGTATGCATAACTAAAAAATTCAGGTCAATGACATACTGACAAACTCACAACAGCTCTCAGCAAAAGGTTCCAAGCCATACAAGACCTACTGAAAACAAGAAACTGCGATGAAGGACAACTGGTAAGGAATCAAAGGAGCACTAACTTCGACGTGTCAGAAAGTGCTGGGTCGCAAGAAGCATCATCATAAGGAATGGTCTCCATCGAAACCCTTGGTAGCACTCGGGAAATGAATAAAATGAAGACAGCAGTTGACAACAGCCAAACAAGAACAAAGAAATCCAAGGCACAGGCCGAACACACAGAAGTAAACAAACGAATGAAGAAGAGCATTGGAGGCGACAAGTGAAATATGTGGAGGACCTAACAACGACAGGAGAAAAAGCTGCAACAGAAGGATATATCAGACAACTATATGACAAAACGAAGAAACTAGCGGGGAAATTTTGTTTATCTTTACATATCTGAGCAGCATCATTGACGAGTAAGATAGATCTGATGCAGATGTTAAGGCTCCGATCGGTAAAGCAAGAGCAGTATATCTACAATCGAAGAACATCTGTAACTCTAAACAACTATCAACCAACACTAAAGTCAGAACTTTCAATGCAAATGTCAATACGGTTCTACTGTATGAGGCGGAAACTTGAAGAACTACGAAAGCCATCATCCAGAAAATACAGGTGTTTATTAACAGCTGTCTACGCAAAATACTTCGGATCCGTCGGCCAGACATTATTAGCAACAACGTACTATGGGAGAGAACAAACCAGATCCCAGAAAAGGAAGAAATCAGAAATAGGAAGACCCAGGACAGAGTGTGTTAGAGAATATTGGTCGGCGACTTATGCTCCGTTGTGGGTAACAGGCGTAAGTAAGTAAGATCAGTCAAGGAAAACAAAGGCAAGACAATCACTGGGATTCGAGAACAGAGGAACAGATGGGTAGAACACTTTTAAGAACTCTTGAATAGACCAGCTCCATTGAATCCACCGGACACCGAAGCAGCACACACAGACCTTTCTAAAGATTTCACTTCACCAGTGATCAAAGAAATCAGGATGGCTATCAGACAAATGAAGAGTGGGAAAGCAGCAGGACTTGACGATATACCAGCTGAAGCAACGAAGTCAGATATAGAAGTAGCTGCAAGTATGCTTCACGTTTTATTCAGGAAGATGTGGGAGGATGAACAAATGCCGACAGACTGGAAAGGCGGATATCTCATCAAGATTCCAAAGAAAAGAGCTCTGAGCAAATGTGAGAACTACAGAGGAACCACACTACTATCGGTACCAGAAGTTTTCAACGGTGTTGTTGAACCGAGTGAAAGATTCAGTAGACGTCCAGCTTCGAGATCAATAGGCCAGATTCCTTACGGATCGGTCGCATACAGACAAAATTGCAACACTAGGGATTATCGTTGAACAATCAAATGAATGGAACTCGTCACTATACATCAACTTCCTCCATTATGAGAAGGCATTTGACAGTGTGGATAGGAGAACATTATGAGAACTTCTTCGACACTATGGAGTACCTGGGAAAATCGTCAACATCGTCAGGAATTCATACGACAGACTACACTGCAAATTCGAGCATAGAGAACAGCTGACAGATGAACTCCAAACAAGGACTGGAATCAAACAAAACTGCTAAGGTAATAAAAACTAACACTACTTTTACTTTTTGTCCAGTATTAGATCATCCCGATCTCCCTATTAATGGGTTTTCTCCATAGTCGTGGAAGTCTTCCCCAAAGTTGGGGGAAAATTAGAGCAAAAACCCGTGTAATAGAGTTCTGAAAAAATATTGGGGAAAACACAAACCTTCCGCTGGAAATTTGAGAATTTTCGGGGGAAACTTTGTGCCGTTTACTTGAAGTTTTCTGTTGCGGTTTCCCCAATATAGGGAGATTGGGATTAGTGGATTGGCGAGGTTACAACTTATACGCGACTCTTGAGCAATTTAAACTAACTTCGAGAGTCTCTTTCTGCTTACTAAAGTTGAATGAAGGTTTTAAACAGATGTTAGGAACTGGAATTAAAGTAGGTAGTTGTACGTTAAGGTTAGACATTAGATCTAGGGTTATTATCAAGTACTGATATAAGCTACTCTGTCAGAATGCAGTGAATGCTTATGGATAAATGCGTTTACTGTCCAAATACATGACGTCCAAAATCTGATTATTTTAATTAGAATTAATAGTAATGTAAGCACGTCGGAATCTGTACCGCAAGCCTTTAAAAAGCAGACGGTCCAATGGTTCAAATGGTTGTGGATAGAATAGAAAAAGCTTTTGCTTAACAGGCTTCCGTGTCTAGTAGCAGGGGATCTTCAACTCCTCCAGGCAGGAACCTAGGTATGTTAACGAGAAAACAGGAAAAGAAAATAGTAAATCATAGTGCGATACTATCCTTAGTCCTTAAGAATAGATCAAGTTGCCTCTTAAAGACTCCTGGGAAGTCGCTTGGACTAGTTCAGTCGGCATAGAATTCCAGCATTTGACAACTCTTAAGTGATAGGAGTTGTGTCTACAGTCCGTTTTGCTAAGTTGTATCTCCGATTTCTAGGTTTGTATTGGGACTAAGCTTAAATAGGTGTTTAAGGGGATATCCAGAAGTGTTAAGGATACTGTAAGCCATCAGAATGTCACCTCTAAGATGCCTATACTGTGATTGGTAAAGGTTAAGTGATTGGAGGCGTTCTTCACAAGCTTTGAATTTGAGTCTTCGAACTGATATCGTTGCTCGCCGTTGGATACGTTCAAGTGTCCTTATCCTTTTGCAGTGAGGGAAGAAATACTATGTTTCCTTACTGCGAATGGGGACGAATAAAACTGTTGAAGACTGTGTGGAGATTTCTTCCGTCAAAGTGGCCAAAAATGCGCTTCAATGTTATCAGCGCAAGGTTTGCTCAAAAGGCATTTTTGTCACAGTTAGCGTAAGACTTTAGATCGTAAGGCACCAGGACTCCTAAATCTTTTACGACTTGGAATACTATTAGAGAGAAGTTTCTAAAGTTGTAACTGTAGTATGCAACATGTCGCAGATGGACTTCTTTACACTTTGAAGTGTTAAACGTAAGTCCGTTATCGTCTGCCCAAATTTGAAGTCGAGTCAGATCTTCCTGAAGTGCCTGTATATCGTCTTGGTTGAGTATCTCTCTCTCCAAAGTTTCACGTCGTGGACAAAAAGTAATAAGAATGACGATACCTGTTGTGGAAGATCATTTATATTAATCAAGAAGAGAAGAGGTCCTAGAACTCAGCCCTGGGAGACCCCACTAGGACGTTCCATAGCCTGAGATAAAATGAAGCTAACGCTGACCTTGAAATGTCGATTTTTCAGGTATGAAATGAACCAATCAATTACAGGTGGTGTGATACCCAATCGTTTGAGCTTATTGATAAGACATACATGGTTAACCCTAACAAAAGCTATTGAGAAATCAAGGTTAACGATATCAACCTTCCCCTTACGATCGACGATGCTTGTCCATATGTCCACCGCAGTCAGCAGGTTGGTTATACAAGAGTAGCCCTTCCTGAAACCATGCTGTTGGGGTGCGAAGAAATTTAAGGACAGTAAATAGTCATTTATACCATCGCATATCAAGGACTCCATGATTTTTGAGGGTATGGAGAGAAGAGTCAACAGTCGGTAACTTGAAGTTTCGCTGCGTCGACCTCCTTTGAAAACTGGTGTGGTGTGAGCCAGCCTCCAATTTTCCGGTAGTTTTCCTCGACTTAGCGAGTGTGAGAACATCACGCTAAGCGGCGTTGCCAGGATTGAGGCTGCCTCCCTCAGTATGGCGGGATGGACCATGTCCGGGCTAGGAGAAGTGTCTAATCTTAAGTGCTGCAGTATCCGGAACATCAAGTCAGCGCTTAGGTTCACTTCGGAAAGTTCTGTGGAATTGCAAACGAAACTGTCATCAGTAAAGTTAATGTCAGTCGATTGAAATGCTCGAGAGTATTGTTCAGCCAAAAGGTTAGCGGCGTCGCCGTCGTAATTAGTCGGGTCAATTAACGAAATCTTTTTGACGAGCTCTCATGAATTTTGTTGGGCATGTTAGTTCCACAGAACTCATTTGGGAATGGACCTAATTTTGAAATTTTATTCAGAAAATTTGAATTTCTTTGATTTGGCCCTCAAAACGCCCTTGCCAACTTCACGTCTTATTTCCCACTGGGAAATATCTTAAACGCTACTGGTCCGTTGCGTATTTTAGTATGCTATTTCGTGACTCTCCACAAGTACGGTTTTGTATTATATATATACGTTTTGAATTGTTTGTTGTTATCGCTCGTTTCTGACTGTTTGCAGAGTATACTTCCACATTAGAACCTTGTACTTCTTCCTATAGTTTGCGAGGCTTGGACGCGTAAAATAGCCAGCTTACTTGTCTTTGGTCACCGAGTCTTTGTTCTTGTTCGCAGATTAAGTGAACTCATAAAAGCTTCAACCCCAGCAAATCCAAAAAATGTTTTTCTCCTGCTTTCTAGTGTCATATTTCAGTTCCATTCCCCTTTTCACTGAGAAGAATTTAACTCATCTTTACCAAACTCAATGAATTCGATAGTACATTTTGGTTTAGTGTTCCTTGAGTATGAATGAGTGTGTCCATACTAGAATTGTGGGGTTCACTCGACTTGCTAGACACTGCTGTCGAAGATTATGAACTACAGAAAAACATTTGAGGAAAACGGATGGTTGGTGACGAAAATAAAAGTGAGAACAGATTGGCGAATGGCATTGATATTTGATAGTGGTGGCAGTAATTGAAAGTCACGAGACTAGCATCAGGTTCTGCTGTTCCTGAAGAAGGACGGTAAACTGCGGGCGCATGCGCGCTTGCTGTGCTTCTTCCAAAATCTGTGTGCACGTCGATTCAGATCACATTTCTGGTAAGTTGATCCTTATTGTAAACACATTTTCTCACACTGGCATTAGGATATTGTCAGCAATTCGTTAAGAGTAGCCTTGTGATATGTGGTGTGAAGTAGATTGTCTTGCATGATGAACATCATTATCATGTCGCTCTTTATTAATGTGCAACATTAATAGTTCAGTTCCAGGCGACGCATTCACTTGACAATTATTTCCTTTCTTAATTCAGTAAACCTGCCTCCTTACTTGTTGTGAGAGATTTTCGTTCAATCATTATCACTCGTGTTATCCGTATTATGCCCCTCGTTATTATTTTTGAGGCCCCATTTCATTACATTGTGATAAGACTTTAGTTCTAAAAACTTTTGACTGTATTGTTCGTTATTTTTTACCATGGGAACCTTTAACAGTAATGTAGGAGCTTTAGTATCGACGTATTTTATGTTTAATAAGAGGGATGTCTTACACTACAGAAAATGACACAGTACTTCATAACTGAATAAACGGTTCTATTTTTCAACCATTTACCAGGCATATTAAGTAAATTCATTTTTAGGAGGTGTCAGCTCTTCCTATTGGGTTACTTTGAGTTTTTCGAGATTATTGGTCATTATTAAATGGTACAACGGACAATCGAGTAACCGTGTCATTGTGCAGTTTGGCTACTATCATTGACTCCAAGTAACTCAAAGAATATTCGTAACCGATATAAAAAGACGTACTGGTTTGTTTCAACAAAGTAGATGTTGGTTGAGTTGTGTCGTTGTCTGTACTAGCGTCGAAGCATCTGATTTTCAGTCGTTTCTCTTGTATTGTTAGAAAACGTGCATATCGAGAATTAAATTCACGGTTTTCCGTGAATCTTTTCAAGCACTATGTCTCTGCACATTAGTTGATTGTTAGACAGAATCATAGTGAGGAATTCAGCGATTTCAAGGTTATTGACGGTTTAGCTGTATAGCACGCCATTTTGTGGCAGAGAAACTATTAGAATATTAGTTAGAATATAATTGCATAAATCACACTCAAACTTATGTTTCGATACGGTTGGCTATTATAGACTCAAAGAAGTCTCAGAACACTATATTGCATACTTATTCTCCCACGTTTACCAGTGTTAGTAATTCACGTAATTGAACATATTTGAAGGTACTACTTTATTTTCTGTTAGATACGAGCTATTATGATGACATAAATCTAGAGTATACAAGAAATATCTTTAAACATAGGGGGAAATAAGTTAGTTTAAAGCAAACATTTCACTCGTAATCGTCGATTCAATCAAAGGCTTTAATGTTCCGATGAACGACGCAAGGATTAGTTGTGATATTCGACTTGCAGGATAACTCGTGGATCTTACATTTTCTTCAATGTATATGGACCTAAACACCTACACGATCAGGCTTACAAACGTATTGCGTTCAGTTAAACCTGTTTTCACTTGACCGCAATCAACTGAGTTTCGTGTTCTACCTTCATCACGATATGATACACCAGTCTTTAAACGTTGCGACTTACTTCGAAGACCTCTCGAAACGGCATGTGGTGAACTCTTCAGTGTGAGCTTAAGTACTGTATACTCGATAAGAAGTGAACTAACGACTAATCCAGCGCTGATCTTCTTGTGTCCGCCTATTCAGAAGGAAACCAAATCCATGTCGATTTTTATTCTGTACAATTGGGAGGCACGAGTCATGTAATTATCATACCTCATCTGATAATTGACAATCGCAATGATACTCGTTGACATCTGACGACTGACTCAAAACAATGTGTTCAGGAAGAAGAGTAAAGTTTCCACAACACCAAAGCGAATGCTT